GAACCAGACAGGACAAGATCAGTCAGATCACCCCACCTGAAACTGCTTCTGGAGTGAATGGACTGTCATTTGGAACGGAATTGCTGTTTCTAGCACCTCGGGAACTTGCGGGTTTTGTATTTGGTTGGTTGGGGTTGGTTGGTTTTTTTACTTTGGAAAGTAAAGTGGTTGCACTTTGTCAGGTATTTGATTAAATGAACAGCTTCTAAAGGCATGCTTTGACCAAAGCAGTGGTATGCTCTTCTCTGTACTCTCTAGATCAACGTCTCTTGTGTCTGGACTATAACAGGGCAGCAGTCTGATGGCTGGTGATACATTGCATGGAACTGTATATACATCAATCCTGTAGAAATTTAAAGATTGCAGTAGCTCTTTGAGCACTGTGATAGAATCGCGTATTTTATGAAGGCAAGGATTCAAATCTCACCACCGCTGGCAATGCTATTGAGAGATGATTATAAATACTGAGTTACTTCAGATTGAGTCCGATTAGTAGGATCTTTACTGATTTGGGGCGGGAAGCATTAATTTGCAACACTGTAATGTGTAAACATTTCTTATGAATCATTTCTGGTGAATTCCCTTAGGATGGGCTGGGAGGCAAGGTAACATGTTGCTGCTGAAAGCAGGCACCTTGCTCCCACCAACCACTTCTTTTGTCTTAGTTTGACACTTATTTTACTTCTTGCTTTGGTAAGTTAAATCAGCTCCATAACAAAGCGAATACTCGCTTTCTTTTGATGCTGGCTTGGGCAGGTAAATCCACCCCCAAGGAGGGTGGTGGAGCCAGCAAAGGACAGGCAGTGGAAGTGCAAGGGCAACACCTGGAGCAAAGCAGGAAAGGGCGACTACAATAAAGTGCTAAATTGGATGCTCAGCTCTCTAATGGGATTTCACCTTTCAGGAAGCCCAATAGTGCTGACAAGTTGTTTTGCCTGTTTGTTTTTTTCCAGGTGCTTGATCACCTAATACAATATTCCATTCGGTTTTGAGGAACCGGATCTTTATCGCTCATTTAAGTATTAAAGGCAAGATATGTAACAAAAAGGCTGGTACCATGAGGGTTTGGGGTTTTTTATTCCAAAATTATAACTTCAATTTCTGTTTGTTGCTGAAGTAAAGATAGGTCACAGGGAATTCAGCAATGCGCTTGGACTTACTGGGTGGAGAAGGTGAAATGTGTCCCAGTAAATGCCATTTCATGTAAGCAGCTCTTGCTATAATTTTGATGTTGAAAACCCACTCCAGAGACTTTGGAGATTAATGATAACATAAATTTCTGAAAAAGCATGTATGTCTGTACCTCATTGCTAAATGTCATATAGAATTGCTTTTTAAATTCATCACTTCCTCTATATTTCATTACAGCAATGACTGCAGACATATTTTGGTATCAAGCAGACATCACCTTTGATGTATGCTAGAGCTGAAGTTTGTGCAACTGCAAATAACTAACTCTTTTCTGGGTTTTGCCATTTTCCAGCAAAATATGACCAACTTCTTTAGATTATTTACTTTGCATGCTTTGCCTCAGCAGTCATGAACGTGCATTTGTTTCTCCAGTAAAGAGCATCATCTGAGCACTGACTCTCAAATCCAGGTGGACAGTGCTATTTTGAGCAGTAGGTTACAACCTTGAAGTCACGTGTAACAGAGTTACGGCAAAAGGCTTCTAATATTGTCTAAAGGTTAGGCTGAGAAATTTCAAAGTGTCGTTACAGAAAGGCAATTCCTATTTCAAAAAAAAATACTATTACATTTTTTTCAGGTCTGTTTATTACTAACCAGTTTTTCTAAATGCATAATATGTAGCAAAATCTAAATATCAACTGAAACGGCACCTTTTTTCTTTTCCCTTTTGCATGTGTTTTATGTGTTTAAAAAGAACTCGCTGGCAAACGCCCCTGTAAAAACAGAAGTCTGTCTCCATGCTGGTTCTTGAGTTTTCTCACTGTTTGTGTGCCATATGGTTTTACAATAAGGAAAACTCCTCAAAAGGCATGTTGCTGGAGTAAAAGAAGCGGAACTAAGATAAAACAAAAGAAAACTAGTAGACAATTGGCTTCATTAAATGCAAAAACCGTAACATGATACTGGGTATACTCTAAGCAGGGAATTTTTAGCTCTGCCATCATGGTGCATTACAGTGTTTCTTTGGGGCAGTATTTTCTTAGAATCAATTGAAAACCAGAAGTTGCCTGGAAAGATGAAGAATAATAAATTTTATTATTCTGCATTTAGTAGTTCATCACTTTCCTTTTTGCTTTAGTCCGTTCTTTAGGAAACACAAACCTTTAGAAAACTAATTTTGCTGAACTGCTATAAACCCTACATGTTTCTAAAGCCCAGAAATGACATAGTTGTTATATATATTATGAACTGTTGATTATCTCTATTGAAGGTCATATCCAAGTACGCTAAATCATCAACCTGGACCGACATTTGCATTCATTATTATTTTGACGTGCAACAATTTCAATGCAGTAATAGCTGTTAGTTTCTCTGGATCATCCAGGTTCTCCTTCTCCCATTATTTGGTGGATGTATTTCTGCTGTTCTTGCATTCTAAAGCCAATCCTGTCCAGTGGTTTGTCTTCCTGATTCAGAATTAATGGTGAGGAGAGGAAATAAATGTGCTGACCTCTAAGACTCTTCCCCCCCCCGCATTTCTGCAAAGTTCTGTAATACCTTTTGGTGTGGCATCTTAGCCTAAGAAAGTTTCAGTCAACATTGTCCTGAAAGCGTTGTCAGGTACATCAGGAGTAAGGCACCAGAAACATGCTTGAATCACTGTTAGAGAAGGTCACTTCCATCACCAGCAGCAGCACAAATCCACATCGGGGAGAAATGAACATTAAGCAAGAATATAGCTACAATAAAATCAAAGCCAAGGCAATTTGGTTGTCATTTCTGCAGTGTTGTTATGGCAGCACAAGGGCCTTTAGGTACAATACTTAATTCTTCTTGGAATTACTGCACGGGTCTGATGTTTTATTCCCCACTCCATTGAAAAGCAATTAAAAATGCGACATTATTTTCTGTTTCACTCATAAGGGGATTTATGCTTCTGAAAACTTCAGAGAATTTCCTCTTCTAAACCCACTTTCAAGTCATGAATTTTCATCACCAAACACGCAAATTAATGTCAGGATTTAAGACATGATCTGTGATTAGCATATGATTTCTGCAAATCTGGGGTTTATGGAAGAAAGTAATCTGTCTCAACTACCATTGCAGATCCTTTACTTTTATATCATTTAAATCAATAGACAGATAAGATCTATTGAATCCTAAAACTTTGTCTGGCATCCCATGTCTCTCTTTTGGGGAAAAAGGAGGCGTGTTGCTGAGTAGGTAACGTATTGTGAGCAGAATTCGGGGTGAAATTTGTCTTGGCTAACTTCAAGCATCAGCAGTATAGACATCTGCACTTAAACCGTAGGGCACTGTACGGAAAATACACTGAGTTGGAAAAGGGGAAGTCAGGTTGATTACTTGGAGGAAAGTACCATGATGACTTAAATTCCAACATTTGAAGGAAATCCCATTTCTTAGTAGGATATCTCATCTGGGTGCCATTATAGGGCAATAAAATCTATGTGCTTTCCAACAAGATCTTTTCGGAGATCCGTAGTGCTTGTTGCAGCAATATCAAGGCACCAAGACTTTTGAATGCTGTTCCAGTCAAGTGACTTTGTGGCTCTGCTGAGACCGAGAAGGCTGCTGATGTGCTTCACACTCAGAGAATGAGGAGGGTTTGCTTTGTAGAGGTCCAATTAGAAAGAATCTATAGGAGACTAACAATGAATAAACTTAAGAATGAATAAAGGGTAAGGGTAGGTTTCCATACGTGACCTTTAGGTCCCAGGTGGACTACTATTGACTATGGCTTTCCCTCTGCGTGCACAGTCACCCTCCCCCCCTGCCTTTTTTTTTGATTAATTTCTCTCAAGACTTTCAGAATACAGCACATAAAACACCTTGTGTTACATATGGATGCCCAGAAAATAACTAATTTTACCATATAATTCTTCTAGCTACTGCTTTGTTTGCTCTAGTGTGTTGTGTGAAGTATCATCCTGAATAAAGGGTTACAGAAAAGCAACGAATTACAGAATAGGAGCAGAGCTTTTCATCAGTCCAACTTAGCTTTGAAAGTCTCGTCTCTCCCTGAAGAGTTGCATAGGGAGAAGTTACATTGCCGGACTAGGTTTTTCTTACATGTGTTCGTTTCAGGGTTAGCTGGCTGATGGGCTAACACCAGGATTTCAGAGAAGTCACTGTTAGGGCTGCTGTTAAATTCAATGAGGAATGCAGACCAAAAAAAAAATCAGACATTCTGAAAAGAGCTGCAAAATTAATTGTAAATAACTGCCTACAACTGCGTTAATTTTTATGTAGTGTACTATTTTGTTGCTAATAAAATATGAAATGTTTTTTCCAAATATATATGCATCCGCAGATAATATACTGAGCAGTAAATATCAGAGTTGCTGCAGTCACTGTACCTTTACATTATTCAGATTTTTGGTTAGTATGTTTTGAATTTGAGTCCAGTTTACCTTAATTTTAATGGATGACATTTTCTTACTACATCCTCCACTTAGCACCTTTCTGCTTGGCATGACATTTAATGAAATTTCAGAATAGCAGTAGCTCTTTGGTATCTATTATTCAAACATCATTTAGAAAGAGATCCAGAAACATGTTGTTTGGTCTTGCAATTATTTGTGATACCTTTTGTAAAGCTAAGTTAATGAGATGGCAGCTACGTTTATTTAAATTAGTTTAAAGTGTTTAATATTGTTCTGAATTGCAAGGTGTACATTTGTTTAATCAATAGAAAGTTTTATTTGAGATTTTATCTATTTAAAAAGGCAGATGGTCTGTGTTTGATCATCATATTAACATAAAGTACCTATTCTTCAAATTGAACACCATGAGTACATTATTACTGATTATTTTTTTTTTAACATTTAATTTTTTTTATTTTCACATAGGGAGAAAATGTTAAAGAAGAACCCTGGGCACCTGTTGACAAAAGCAAAGCAGAGGAAAAAGCGCAAAAGAAACAAAAAACCGAAAGGCAATCACACAGAAATTATGAAGAAAATGTTAGGTGGAGCAGCTCATCATCCAATTCCAAATGACCAGGACACATCAGAAAGTGAAGAGGATGATTCGGAAGAAGAAAACAGCAAATCATTGTGTACGCTCGGTGAAGGTCCAGAGGACCCAGTAACGGTTTGTGAAGAGCAGCCTAATGGTGATGATGAAAGACTGAAAGAAGCTGCAGTGGTTTCAAGAGAAAGGCTTCCCATCGCCGCATCTGAGGTCTCAACGATGTTGAAGAGCGCGTTGAAAAATGAATTGCCTGTAGAAAGTGACAGTTCACTTCTAATAGATGTAAAACCTTTTTCTAGTGAAAACCTAACCAAAAATGCATTTGATGATAGGGAAACAAATCAAAGGCACAAAGAAAATCTTTGCAGAAGCAGTTTCCTAAAAATAAGCAAAGATAAAAATCCCATCCAGGAAACAGAAAGCATCTCTGAAGATTATAACATGCCACTGTTAAGCACAGGAAACAAACTCGAATCATATCAAATGACACGTGAACCTGACATGGAAGCTAAGCCGTTAAGTTTAAATGATGAAGAAAAAGAAATCTCTCCATGTTACGATTCAAACGTACATGGTAACGTGCCTGATAATAACTCAGAGGACAAAGGTGCGTTAAAAGCAGAAGAGAATAGCTCTAATGCCTGGGCTTTTTTTTCAATTAATTTACCTACTGAGGAATTGCAGCTGGGCTTTGATACACAAGTTTCTCTCTCTTCTTGGTCCGAGGATAAATTTGTAGGTGAACAAAGACCCCCAAAAATGAGGAAACCTAAACAGACTCATACGGACAGTTCAACACAGCTAAACTGCTGTTGGTCAAATGAAGGATTGGTAAAGGAGAACCATCAGGTAACAGTAACTGAGGAGGCTGGCAACATAATAAGCAATGGTCTGTTGGCATCTCCAGCTGATGAAATGCACGTTGATTCCCTTGTGGAAGCCAGGGCCACCTTCACGCAGTGTTCGAGTGAAGGAAATGTTCCCAGAAATGATGCTACACCAATTACATCAAAGAGGAAAAGATACAGAAGAATTGTCAACTTGGCACCAAAGTTTAATCTACCAAGAGAGATTGCTGGTAGTACAGAGGGAGGGAAGGACCTCCCAGTACAAGGTGATGTTCCCCAAAAAAGGGTTCTGGAAGTGGGGCAAAAGAGCTTTCTAAGGAAGGATGGTAGAGAGGAACGTGAACAGGACCGTGCATTGCAGGAATATTCTGTACCTTACAGTGGCACCGAGGCAACCTATTCCTTACCCACCCTGGATGCAGATGCTCTGTTACATGATGTTTCTTACATTCATTCGGGACAGTCGTCTTCTATGCCAAAAAATTCCTGCAGGGTTTTTGTAGTTTCCAGGGCGAAGGAGGAGCAAGCTGGAACTCTGAAGCAACAACAGGTAGTTGATAAGAAAGAGGGCGAGAGTGAACAAGTTTCTTCAGAGGTTACAAATAGCCGACCAGATATTTTGTCTTCTGTTAAAGTTATTTCTGAATATCCAGAAGATTCCGGTATATTGGCAAGCTGCGGTGAAAATGTGCATGAAGTAGATGACCCTGAGCCAACAGAGGCCTCACAACTTGAAGATAACCAAGATGTGAACATGAAATGTAGTTTTCTGGGACTTCCCTTATCATTAGGATTTGCTTTTCAACTTGTGCAACTCTTTGGTTCTCCAGGTCTTCCACTGGGTAATACTCGTCTTACTACTCCTATGTAAAATATGCTCCCCCCCCCAAAAAAAAAAAACCAACCAAACAAACATAAA